TTTAAAAATACTTGCAGCTTTTTTTAGGGTGATGGACTGCCTTTCAACATGTGTAGTTCTAACAGTGGCCAGTTTGACTAATACCAAGATAACGTTACCATACGATATCACTGTGGATTCCCTACACTTGGCTTTCAGTCAGAATGGGGTGGGAGGGCAGTCAGTATTTTAATTTTTTTTACTGTCTTTCTAAACAGCTTTATAAAAAAAAAGTTTTGCAAGTTTAATCTTAATAATCTTCACCCAAAAAAGCAGACACACTATGTCATAAAATAACTATTAGTGACTAGTTTGTATCCTATAAATCTAACTTGAGTTGATAATATGGTCCATTACCAGCTAACTGCACAGAGTATTTTTCATTTTACACTCTTCAGTTACTTTTTAGTGAAGTGTTAAAAAATATGAAGCTTTTCTCCTCTCTAAAATTGCACACTGTCTGTCTGTTATTAGGAAGATAACAGCTCTTATAAATGTTTCAGTAAGCGCTAAGTAGACAGTTATGTGCACTCTCATTCCACGCTTATTTGCTTACTGTAATAAACTGATAAAATATGTGTGGTTTGTCTCTGTGTTTCTGCAGGCATCATGAGTCACATAGATTTCCTTTAGAAATAATGTTGTGTCTACAGAATTGATTGGTTATTTTCATAAACCATCCAAAGGTACACAAACTACTTCTATAATTTAAACATATGCTGTGTAAGATTTGTAGGAGATTATCTCCTGGTTAGTAGATACTTCTTGTTCTGTTAACTCCGTGTAGTATTATTTTAACCCCACAGTGATTGCAGGTATCTGCCCTATGGGTTTCTCTAAGTATCACAACTCTCTACATCAAAAATTTTAGAATTAAAAAACTCTGTTTACTAGACTGATGCAACTGTTAAATACACCACATTGCAGTCACATCAGCCTTGTTAGGTTAAAACCCTTGCTAGCAAGTAGAGGGTTTGAGAACTCCTATTTTCCAGAATTAAATTTCTTCAACATATATACATTTTATTTATTTCCAGTACTGCCACATTAAATGGAAGTGAAATTTAATGTTCTATGGGAGGAAAGATGGCTTAAACATCATGTCAGTATTCTGACTGTCCTTTATGTTTCTGTTGCTATCTGTAGTATAATACTGAAAATGGAAGTGAACGGGCTCAGGAGTGAAATTGTGACTGAAACAAGAAGTAACGCTGAAGGGGGCATAGATTAAAATCTCTAAAAATCACAGAGAGGATTCAGTAAAACTGGAATCAGTGTTAAATTAAGTACAATAAAGAATTTTTCTGTTTGTGTATGCATTTTGGAACATCTCATCCTCAATACCATCACACGGCATGTGAAGGACAATCAGGGGGTCAGGCCCAGCCAGCACAGATTAGTGAAAGGTGAAGGTCCAGAAGGCTGAGGCCAATGGTATGAGATTCAACAAGACCAAGTGCCAGATCCTGCCCTTGGGTCACAACAACCCCAGGCGGTGCTACAGGCTGAGGCAAGAGTGGCTGGAAAACTGCCTAGAGGAAAAAGACCTGGTGGTGTTGTTTAAAGCAGCTGAACATGAGCCAGCAGTGTGCCCAGGCCACCAGTGGAATCCTTGGTTTGTATCAGAAACAGTGTGGCCAGCAGGACCAGGGCAGTGATTGTCCCCCTGTACTCAGCACTGGTAAGGCCACACCTTGAATTCTGTATCCAGCTGTGGGCTCCTCAGTACAAGAAGGACATTGAGGTGCTAGAGTATGTCCAGAGAAGGGCAACAGAGCTGATGAAGGGTCTAGAGAGTAAGTCCGATGAGGAATGGCTGAGGGAGCTGCTGGTGTTTATCCTGGAGGAAAGGAAGGTCATAGGGGGACCTTACTACTCTCTACAACTACCTGAAAGGAGGTTGTAGCCAGGTGGGGTTCAGTCTTCTCCCAGGTGAATGATTGGATAAGAGGAAATGACTTCAAGTTGCTCCAGAGGAGGTTTAGGTTGGATATTAGGAAATATCTCTTCACTAAAAGAATTATTAAGCATTAGAATAGGCTGCCCAAGGAATTGTTGAAATCACCATTTTTGGAAGTCTTCAGAAAGCCTGTGAATGTGACACCTGGGAGCTTGGTTTAGTGGGGAAGATGGGAATGCTGGGTTGACAGTTGGACCCTGATTTTAGAGATGTTTTCTAACCTTAATGAATAGATGATTATCTACATGTTGGATTTCTGACTAAACTTGACTGGACTACTGACTTTTTATGTTTTCATTCCTATTAATAAATAGTACTAATAAAACCAGCTGTAAATTAGCACAGAGAAGCTAGTGTACTTCAAAATACTTGTGTTAACATGAGTTAAACATGTATCCTAAGTTTGTTAATGTAAAATGGGTGAGCCATTTCATGAAATAACAGTTCTATATTCATGTCCCATTCAAATGAATATTAAAAGTAAAGACTAAGCTTAAACTTAAAAATAACTTAAATTACCTCTTAAAACTTCAATTTTGTTCATTATTTGAGCAATGGTTTAAGTAATGTACTAATTTGTCGGCTTAATAACCTCTTACTCTTATTGTCTCTTTGTGCGTAACAATAAGATATTTATTATTCAAAGCATTTAATTCCTTATTTCTGAGCAACTCAGTTGTTTTTTTGAGATTTTGACCTTGTCAGTTATTTCTAGAAAACTAAGCAGAGTATTAATCTGCGAAAATTTGGGTCTTGTATTCAAAGATGTTTTGAATTTTGAGTAACTATGAAGGTCCATACAAATTGTACTTTTTCATACATTTTGCATTGGCTGTAAATCTAGTCATGTGATGTCAAATAGGTCATTATTTTATAAATATAATTTAAAGATAAAATAACCCTAATCTTATCATATATTTATCCATATAAAATGGCTTTGGAGTAAAAAGATACCTGGTTGTTGTGGATTATGTAGAATTTCACTGAACTGTGTTCTTGGATAAATGTATTAGATGTTTCCATGCTTATCAGAGATCAGGAATTGGACTGAAAAAATTGACTCAATTTAAAAAATATGGTGCCTATATTCTTCAAGTGGCATTGCTACTAGTATTTGAAGAGGTACAGACACTTATAGTATGTATTCTATGGTAAACAACTGTATTTTCTTCTGACCATATGGGAAAGTTGAAAATGTGGTCCCTGAGAACATTGTATTATTTTTTTAGGTGAAGAAAATGACTGAACTTCACCAATTTATTTTAAAAGTATTAACAAATTGTACATATACAAAGTTTGGTGGTGTGGAGTTTCCTCAATTCAGAAGTGGTTTGAAACTGCTCTTAGTCTTCACACTTAAGACTACTGGTAGATAATTAATTTGTTTCTAAAAAAACTGGTACCAGAGTTTTTGTATATTAAAGAAAGAAACAACTACATAAAAAGTTAAAAGTGAAATCTAATGTGGAAAGTTTTACAGAGGTGTTTGCGTGGTCACATCCTGCATGTATTGTTCTAATTACAGTCACATAGTGGTTGACTTTTGAGGGGATGGGAATCCTTTCTGCCTTTTTTCCTTCATTATTTATTTTTCATTCAGTATGATATGTGTGAAACCTAATGCATCTCCCAGAGCCACCTCTAAAAACCGCTGCAGTCAGTTCCTCATGTAGTTTTCTTCAGCTTTCGCCAATGTAGTACTCACACTGTTAAGCGTTTATTAGTTGGGCTTCACAGATACTCATTTGCGGTGATGGATGTTATTAGCCTGGCTTTCCTGTTCAGAAACTGGTGCTCAGAGATGAAGATCAAGTTTGTTATGTGCTTGCTAACTTCCAAGTTTTTCAACAGGATACTTTGCAACCATAAGTTTTCCGGATGCCCTCCCATTTCTTTAATACCTTATGGGTTTAAATCTGAGCTCTTACTGCATCTCCTATTATTATTCTATCACTGAAAGTGTTCACTAAGCCTTTAGATGAGCTCCTCTGTGTTAAATGTGTTGGTCAACAAAATGTAGTAGCCCTGCAAGTGTTTTGTAGAGAAGGCAAGATGAAAGCTTGTTCTCCTTGCTTAGCTGCTTGGAGTTTTGAACAGCCTGCTATCTGCAGTTGTCGCTTTCACTTAGTTACACGTTCAGGGTTGTGGGTAGGGCAAGAGAAGAGGGACACTCATCAGTGGAAACATAAGCAGATGTATCTAACAGATCTACTGTAAAGTTCAGTACCTCATAGAGCATTGACCAGACAAATGGGATTTTTATGCTGAGCATTTGGCTTTTTTCAACCACTTCATTCTGCTTGTTTGGTGTTAGTTTCATGTAATTCCCTAACCTTTCCTTAAAACTTGTTTAAAGAATTCCGATTTACTTTTATGCAGATTTCTGCATATGCCTTAGTGTTGTACTTTTGAGCTCATGATTACAAGATCTCCTTATCAATAGTATCTAAGAACATTTGCACACTGAATGTCTTTTTTCATGCTATTTCTGCAGGATAGAGTGGACCCAAACATCCTTGGGATTTCTCTTACTGCTTTTAGCGGCAGAACTGTTTAAAGTGGCAGCATCCTTCTGCTCTTAATCACTGTATTTTTACTTTTTCACCAGTGTAATTATTAGGCAACATTTTTTTGTGGTTTTAACAACAGAAGCAGAAGACAATTTCTCACTACACTTTCGCATTACGCAGTGGGCTTGGGGTCACCCTGGAGTTCTGATGCACAGAATATTTCTTGCTGGAAAAAAAAATGACTATTCTAACTGTGACTGTTAAAAAACCTGATTATTAAATAGATAACTGTAGAGTAAAAAAATGAAAAGATACTATAATGAAGAGTGAGACAGATAACAACAAAGCTGAAACTGCTTTATCTCAGCACCAGAAATGTTAGGCTCTGTTATCTGATATCCATTAGTCCATTTTTTTAATGCATTTGAATATGTCCTTACATGTTTCTGGTTCACTAAAATTCCAGCTTGAGAGCAGGTGTTCTAGCTGAGTGATAAGTGCAATATTCAATTGTTATTTTTTTTGTTCTTCACTTTCAACAGTTTGCCAACTGTTGTTTTGTACTTAAACAGGTCACTACTCAAGTCTCTGTGCCAACAAAAACATATGAACTGCTTCATCGAATGACTGGAAAAGGATTAGCAGCTCATTATCACTTTTCAAGACAGCCAGGCCTTTTTGGGGATCATATGGTACCTGTGCAAGTGACAGTAACAAATACAACTGATCAGAAGATAGAGAATATTCACATTGAGGAGAAGAAATTACCTCCAGGCATGAGGATGCGTGAGTTTAATCCAATAGGTAATATCCTGTCTTTAAAAATACAGATTCTTAACATTTCAAATAGAGGAAAGTGTTTTTGCATAGCTGTATGTGTACTCATAATATGTGTGTGTGTGTGTGTGTGTGTGTACGTAGGTATACATCAACACACTCATGCAACTATCTTTTCTTAGGTTGTCTGATTTTAACACAAATTTAATTCAGTGTTCCCTTTGACTTCGAAAACAAATTCCTTAGGTCAGAACTTCCATGCCTGAAAGCTTACCTGCTTATTTAAATATCAATTATATTACAACTCTTCCAGTTGATACAATAAAATTTTTCTGCATACCTACAAACTTTGATTCTCTTACAGCCTTAGTCTAGAATGTCTGTTATGGGATACTGTTAGAATGAGTATCTATATATTTGCAATTGTTCTTACCAAACTTTAAGTAAATTTGTAGATGTAATGTGTTTTTTCGTGGCTCGGAGCATTGTCATTTTGTTTCTTGTGAGTTTATGGCAGTAGAGTGGGAGCATATCTTTTAGTTTAGCTTATATCTACCATACTTCCACAAAGTGTGTCTGCCTAGACTGGATAGAAAGCAATGCTGCAGTCAACCCAAACCTAAATTGTTTCACATTCTACCATCTGATTTCAAAGGTTTTTTGCTACATTTCTTTTTAGTAGAAAAAGAGTATAAAGGAAAGAGTTAAAACCTGAGAAAGAACACAGATCATAGCATCTTTTATTCAAGAGCAGTATCTATGCGTGCAACCTACTTTCTGGTTTTTTTTGTGAGACTGTGGTGTAGTCAGAAGGAACAAAAATGTCTATTTCATAATACAGATGGAAAGGACAGACGTGCTCCTTTTTGACACAACCTCCTATTTCTTTAGACACATTTCTTCTCCTTCAGTGAGCTACATTATTATGTGACTCTGTATCATGTTAGAAGAATATGGGAACAAGTTTTTAAACCTCAGCAGTGAAGTACAGAGTATTCTTTGTTTTGAGTAGTTTTGAGTACTGTTGGTATTAAATGGCTCTGTACTATTAAAATACTTATTTTTTTTTTCAACAGTGTAAAGGTTATACATATTGATGCCAAAAAGCTACAAAAGAAATTGTCCAATGCTACAGTTTATTTCAGAGTTCAAATTATGGAACAGTTTCCATTTTGGTAATGATATATTTTATCAAGACAATTACTTTTACGAACTGTATTAATCTTTCTTTTAAGTGAACTTTTTTATGTTTTTCCTCAAGATAAGAAGTCCAGCTCAGAGTTCTGAATCTAAGTTAGTTTTGACTATCACCTTTATTGTATATCCCTTCCTGTAAAACATTTAATGAAATAAAGCACAAAGGCTTACAAGTAGAAATATAGTAACACTGTAAATTGGATCAGGAGGTACTGTACCCACAATAACATCAATTAAAATAGCATTCACTTGTCTCACATAAAAACCATGGAGGAAAAACAAAGTGGAATTAATAAATTGTCAACTTCATGTTTCTTGAGCTTCACAAAACAATCCTACCCTTTAAAGTATTTATTTCCCCAAGAAAGACATTGTGGTATCTGTCCTGTGAAACTTCTGGTTTCTTCTGCAGAAAATCAGCTCTACATCATCCGTAGTTCCTTAAAAAATGTTACTTTTCTTGCTTGAATGCAAATTTTCTGTATTCTTTGTCACTTTATCTAGAACAAAGTTCATATATGTTGTTCTTATTATGGTTTATGTTTCCATCATTTGGAAAACACATCCTGTAATTTGCCCAGCAGAACCAACAGAAGTGTCAGTGTAGACAGGTGTTCCTACTGGAGTATAAACCTAGTTTTGCCTCCGTCACTGCAATTACTGTTAGCAACTGTCCTGATTTTTCCCATAGAAATGGTCCAAATTATTTCATCCAAGTCCCTCTGCACAACATTTTCATGTTGGCTAATTGCCTTTGAAACCCCCTTTGAAAACATTAAGCTCAAAGACTTTGGTAAAGTTTATTCTGAATTTGAGCTGGAGCTTGTAATCTTTCAATGCTTTACACAGACTCCTTGGAGTAATTTCTTTTTCATTCATTCATTCATTCATTCATTCATTCATTCATTCATTCATTCATTCATTCATTCCCTAGCATTAGTGTAGACTCCACCTACCTGCATCAACTCCATGTTTCCCTATTTTTCCAAACTTAATCTTGATCATGAAATTTTGTTTCCTTTTGTCATGGAGCAGTTGCCTACTTTTCAGTTCCTGAAAAGCATCGGATACATCGTGAATAGTCTGGAAATTGAACATTTTTCTGCCTCTCCAATTCTTTTTATTTGAATTCCTCTCTTTTAACTGTGCTTTTACCTTTTCTTTGTTGTAATCTTGAGAAGTCAAACTTTGCTTAGGTTCTTGTTTTTAATATTTCTACTTAGAGCTTAAAGCAGAAAACCTTTAAAGAAAGCTTTGTCTTTACAACATGAAGGAAATAGTATAGTGCTTTAGTCAAGAGGTTAAGAATGGTAATATCTCTTGGTAACTGACACATAGATATATACACTACTTGTATAGCACAGAATGATCTATCTTCCATTTTGTGTTTATAATCTTTCTTCTCCTTTCCAACTAATGCAATTGGAATATTGAGAGATTAGTAAACCACAGTAGTTGTGAAATAGTTTAAGTTCAGCTCATTTTCCACTACAGTGTGTATTAATGCAAATGTTAATAATAGGTGTTGTGTTTTGCTATTTATGAACTAAATCTGCAAACTGGTGTTATTGAAAGTCTCAGTGCTGGATCTGTATACAGTTTAAAGGATGTAACTTCAATATGTTTTTCTCTGTAAAATATTTTTTCAGTTACCTAATACAAATCCTTGTTTTGTTGTAGAGCTGTAAGATTGAAATGGCAACATTTCATGTGCACTAACTGTGGGAGGGAGGATCCAAGGCATCCTAACAGGGAGGGGGGATCCAAGATGTGCAAGTGTGACATTTTGTTGATACCTACTTGAAATAAAACTACAACTATTGATTCTTTTCTTATGGAGCTTTTTGTAGGTCGTTAACATAGGTTTTTAATTATATGAAGTTTGAGTATTTGCATCTGGGGTCTTCTGTTGCCTTACGTGGATGCTTTACCTGTTACAAATCTCTTCATTTAGAGTGCCTTGAACCTGGAGGATCCACTACCGTTACAGTGGGTATTGACTTCTGTGATTCTACTCAGACAGCCAGTTTCCAGTTATGGTGAGTTCTTGGTAGGGGGAGGGTAATTTTTGGAAGACCTCTTGAAAGGCAAAAGTAGTGTTTATTGGAAGTTTACTTGCCAGTAACAGGCTCTATTCTTTAAATATTTAGAGAATTAAACAAAACTCACAGCACGATGTATATCCAACATGTTCTCAGAAAAATAATACGTGATTAGTGTTCAGTTTTACTATTAGAAAAACTGTTTTCTTCAACATTGAAATTCTTTTTAGCACTTGCTTCTCAAAACACAGATTTGATAGTAAGCCCAAATCTTTGGGGGTTTGAAATCACGTGTTTGCACTCAAAAACTCTTTGATACGTTGTGTTTGGGGGGCCTAGTTTTTCCCTTTGGTGTAAATGATATTAAGCAGAAACATAAAGTCTTCTGATTTAGAATTACTTCTCTTTTTTTTGTTCCACTCTTCTTGGGATTCTTCTTATTAACAACAAGGAGTAGTTAGGTCTGAGTATTTTGCTGTAGTGTTTTGTGTGTGTTGTTCTTCGTAAGAAATTTCAAGTCAAAAAAGCACTTAGTGTGAGCAATTTTACTACCTCAAGTCCTTATTATGGCTGTTTGTGATCTGTGTAACATGACTGCATGAAACCAAATCCAAAACTTGCTGGCTAAAGAGTTTATTGCTCATGCTGTAGATTCTTTTAAATAAATAGTGAGAGAATGAAAACAAGTAACTGGCTGGCCAACTAGATTTTGTCTTACGTTCTTGATTTATGTTTTTTGTGCCTTTTATTGGCACATTCAAGGTCCTCCTTTGTATGAGTTCCTTCTGCATTCTAGGACAACAGGGAACCTGTTCACCCAGAGAGAATTTTGTTATAAACTAGCATTTGAAACCAGGGTAAATTTGTAGTAGCGGTGTCCAAACACTGGGAAAGAATGGAAGGGGGAAACCTTCTTTTAGAACTGCTCACTTTTATGTAGTCTTTGAAACTGTGCAAAAGCAGCATATAGATCTGCATGTCTTTTTTTTTATTTACGTATTTTGAAATAATGGGGTTTTTACATGTTTTGTGGCAAGAATCACTGTATTCAATATTCTGTACCAAAAAAAAAGATACTGAAGAGACATTCACGTTGCTGCAATAGAGTTTAAGAGAAACCCTTTGAGAAAGTTCTGTACACTGTTTTTAAGTACTGTAGCAATTTCAGTGTACTTCTGCTAAGGACAGCTTGTGCAATTTACATGTTATTAAAGATAGCATGAAAATATTAATCATAGAGATGTACCCTAGTGACTCCAAAAGTACTGCTAAGATAAGATTGCTTGTTCTAGGAGCAAGAAGGCTTTACTATTGAATTTTTTCTTTCCGTTTCTCAGACCTTTCCCAATACAATGGATACTCCTACATAGTCATTTTACACCTAGTTGTACCTCCAGCAAGTTGTCTGCAGCATGTGCCTCACGTTGTCATAGCTGGTCTGTGTGCTGTTTGCTGGAATTTGGAAACAGCTTTGGACTGTTGCCTGATGCTAGATTTGTTTGGGAAGGAAGTTTACTTCTACAGAGTGCAGTTTCAAAATTGCTTAAAAATTATAGGCTCTCTTTCCCTAAATATATTTGAGTTTTTAAAAATAGAATATTCTCAGTTTATCAAACAGAAACAGTCTTTTTTAAATAGAGCAGATATTTTTCTTTCAAGTACATATTTTCAGTGTACCAATGATTTGATTTCTAACTTACACCATTTATTTAAGAATCTCCGCAGTGATGAGGATAAGCAATGTAGCATAACACATTGATTTTATGCAGATCGTCACCTTTATGTTTTGGGAGGTCTGCTGTATTAGTGATATATAAAAACTGATTACTTTCTCCAACATTGCCTAGTAATTGTTTATTATTTTCCTATTAGACAAACAAGACAGATCAATATTCCTGAACACCAACCAGACTATGAGTAACATCACTGTAAATAGATTTGCCTCAGACCTCAGTGGTGTATTCATTTTAATGATTTAGACAATGTGAGTCCAATGACAAAGCGCTCAAGCTAAGTTTAAAATTAAATTAAGAATAGGAATCGCTTACTTTGTTCCTTTGCTAATTGATAGGACCTTGTTTCTTTGTCACTAGTTCTTAGAAAATAGTATACTAATAGGTAAAATGTTCTTTGTATTAAACTTGCTATTTGAAAACATATGATGTTTTGGGAGCAATGTCTTAGACAACTTAGATGCAGCCTTTTTAATTTGTCTTACTTCTTAAAAACCTTTCATCCAGAAGAAGGAATGACTTCTAGAAGTTTGTCAAAATATAGTTGAAATACTGTGCGAACTTTGTTGATATTCCTGTATATCCTACCAACATATCCTTATGAAAGACATTGTCAGTTATTTTGCGTTTTTGTTAGAAGCATGTTCAGCAGTAAAGTGTTCCTGATCATAACAATTTTCTTTATGTTGTTCTAAGAGGAGCACTTTATCTTGCATCAAATGTAATTGATCCTGAAGCAGTGTAATCACAATTACTCACTTTCTTAATTGGCCTGCCCAAAATCAGAAAATGGAAACCGATCGGCAGTGTTTAAATCAATAGCTTTGTAGTAAAGCCTGTGGGGGTAGGGACGTAATGGTAATGGGTAGATCAATTGGTCTTAGATGCCAATCATGGACTGTGTGTTTTGCATAGCAAACACTACCTTTTTGCTTGGGGATGTGCTGTGGTACTATTGGTTCGATAAATACAAACTGTAAAAAGTAAAAACCTAACAAGAGCCATAAAATATTTAGATCTTTTTCTCAATTTGTTGTACAAATTCAAGGACAATGAAGGAGAAACTGCATTATAGACAGGTTTGAAGGGCTGAGCTTTGAAAGACCTCCCTCACAAATACTGTTTTTGTTAAGCAAAGCTTACCAAGATCACATATCTAATTAAAAAGAAGTGAAACCCCTTAACTTGAAAACTGTGCTTAATGCATTTATTTAGAATGTGTATTATAATGTTCACACTGTGTACTTGTTTGGAGAATATCTCTTCATTGCTATTTTTCTTGTGCCACTTTCTTGCAGAGGTAGACTATTTCAGCCACACTGGTGTTCTGCATGATAATGCCTCTCAAGCAGAAAGTTGAAGAGGAATAAATGGAGGAACTTGGTCTTTTAAAAGATTTTTTTGAGTGTTACTCTGTCTTTTTGGGTTCCTAGTTTAATTTTAGTATATTCACCATCCCAGTAAAAGACCTCAACCTTAGGTAAGCAGGTAGAAAAAGGTTGAGTAGCTGAGCAAAGTTGAGCAAGGTGAGCAGTTGAGCAAATGTTGGAATGTATCCTTGATGCAACAGACTAACTGCAGTACTCCACTGACTGGGGAATTACTTTTTTTGTCCTTGTCAGATTTTAAAGATTTCCACATCAGTGTGTTTTCTCTTGAATCCTTGAGCTACCTTAACAATCCTACCACTGTCTCTTACGCTATCTTTATTGTCATGCATGTCTCTACTTTTCAGATATTCTCAAGTCTTTCTCACAGCTTACCAGGTTTCTAAGATATCTGAACAAAGATTTGGGAGCTTTACCATGTCAGAATTTGTCCATGAATCCTTGGAATGAAGATATTTGAATCCCGGGAGAAAAAAAGACAAGATTATAGAAACACAGAGGGTTACAGCATATACATGCCCTTATCCTATTTTGTGTACGTGTATTTAGCATTACGAATTCCTGTCTGCATTTGTAAAACCCAGTAGGCAAATCTCCAATTTCTTGTAGGTATCTGATGAATAAGGAAAAGTGAAGGGGAGACCTCCTTTTTACAACATTGAAAGCTGAAGAAGAAGGTTTATCTTTACCTCTTCTTCCCTATTCTTTTCATCCCCTCTTTATAAACTCTTAGCTGTTCCCAAAACCGTGAAAGAACAATTTCTGGAGAACCTGTTCTTTTCTGTTCTTTTTTCTTGTTCTTTTGAATAGTATATATGGTGTTGTTTAACTTTCTTTGAAACCACTTGGTGTAGGGGAAGGGTCCATGCAATGCATCTCTTTGGCTGGTTTTCTCTGGGTTTAAGTGCAAAGAATACAATCAGAGCACCCAAGAAGAAAGGGAAATGGAACGAATACAGCAACTTGTATGACTTCCATTCTTTTTCAGAATAATTAGGTATGGAAAAGAGTGTGATACATGGTAGAGGTTTTTACAGACACAAGCTGGCTACCTTAGATTGGTATTTCCTGTGTTCCAGTTCATTAGAAGGGCTAGGATGGTGTACTTACTCTTTTGCTGTTGTTATGCTGATAGAAAAGGAAACTGTCTGTTACTTCATCTGCCTTGGACTATATAAAGAAAACATTTTGTTGATTACTCCAGAAGAGGTTGGTGTAGCAGGAAGAATGTAGCATTTTCTTAAATTAACTAAATCCCATGAATGAAATTTGAAAACCTTGTTCAGTCTGCTCTCTACAGGTTCTATCTTACTGTAAAAGATTTTGCTCTAATTTTTTTTTTCCCAGAAGGAGTTTTTTTGCAACATGAAATTCCCTTACTTCACTCTGTGTTGCTGTAGAATCTTGTCAAGCAGAACTCCTACCTGCAAAGTGGAGTAAATGAAGAGGATCAGTTGTGTAGCAGTCAGTATTTCTATTGAGTGCAAGCGTGCATTCAGGTATAGATGCTTGCACAAAAGCATCTGATTAAAATTACGTAGTGGAATATTGTCACAGGTCAAGGTGGGACACGGCATGGCTTCAGGATACCAGCAGCCTTATTACAACGGTGCAGCTTCTAGGTGACACACGTACATGCACCGTTGGTTTACCACTAACATAACAACTCATGATTGGACATAGCCACACATGTCCGAACTCAATAAGTCAGCATTCTTGACAGGAAGCCCATTCTGTGTTACAGTCCTTACTGTCCGTGGCTGACCCTCTGCCAGGTGTACTAGTTCCATCTTCGGCATTTCAGCTTACAGAGAGCCCAGAACCAGCTGGGCTCCCCCACAGAATATGTTATGAAATATATTAAAAGCTAATGTTAGAGATGGAGGACTGTCTTCACAACACTGTCACTTGCATTTTCACGTTTCATGCTGTTTTCTTCCCTAGTGGTTTGTCAGCAGATCACCAAGTTGTTTATAGATAGGACAAGAAATGTGGTACTTTTCTCTTTATTTCATTACTCTAAAGCAGTCACTTGGCCCTATTCCAGAAAACTATTATACTGAGATAGATAACTGACCTAGAAAAAACAAGGCTGGACATGGACAACTGCTCTCATTTGTTCTGTTGCTTTCGCCTTTTTTCTCGTAAAAGCCAGATGCTGTCCTTTCCTCAGCAAAACTATGAACAAAGTCTCTTAGACTTCTCCATTCCATGCTTTGTTTTCCTTTTCCATTCTTTTTTGATTATTTTTGGAGATCTTTTGAATACAAGACAAAAATAGCAAGCTGGTTTGGGATAAGTGTATTCTGGGACGAGCAGTTACTGGGATTGAAACAAAAAAGGATAATATAAAGAGCAAGAAGAATCTTCCCCAGTCTCCTATTAGAGTAATAATTTATAAGAAGCCTTGGAAATTGAGACTTTAAACACTACTATTGTGGAATTAAAAAAACTCATTCAAAAGTGCTAGTCTTATTTGCATTAGTTTTAAAAAAGATTTTGCTATCATTGTCCTTAAGTCTTATATTGTGGCAGAGAACTTCTTTCCCAGGAACCCTTTGGAGCCAATTATTTTTTTTTTTAAAAAAGAGAGATGAGAGAGGGAATAGCCTCTGGTTTCAAATGGCAAGTGCTAGCTTGTACCACTGCAGCCATCTAAAGAAAACTTAAAAGTGCACATCTTCTAAAGGGTTGAATGTTAGTCCTGCAGTGTCATTTACCATGGAGCTAGTAAGTCTCCTTATGGTCCTGTTGTCTCTCATCTGTTCATCTTAATTGGGTGCATCAGAAGATAAATTCATATGACCCTTGAAATTGAATCAGGAAAGTGATGTAATCCTTTTAAAAATACAATACGTACAGTTTAACAGTTTTCGAGGCATAAGTAAGAGTAATGATGTCTAACGTTATTTGCCCCCAAGTTCACAATTAAATACAAAACAGATTTTTCAAACTAGTGGCAAGGTACTGTTCTTGGAATCCCCCAATTGTTTGATTCTTTTAGAACTTCCTTCTGAGTACTTCTCATTAAGCATTCTTGTTCCACTAAGTCTGTAACTTACCAGTTGCACTTTCTAATACCAGAAAACTTAGTCTTTAATTTTTGAAATCTGAAAACAGGAAACAGTTATATTTCGTTTGGGTTTTTGCTGTTGTTGTTGTTGTTTATTGTGGGGTTTTGTTTGTTTGTTTTGTTTTGTTTTTTGTTTGGTTTGGTTTGGTTTTTGGTTTCTTTTCCAGTAGGCTTCTTCAGCTTGATCTTCCAGGAAAGTTAGAGCAACACCACCTGGGAGGTGTTTCAGTGCAGCTTGGACGAGCAGCAGATTCTTAAATGTTAATTTTCAAACTTCAAATCACCTCTGCAGTTTTTTGTTTAAGCATCATTTATACTAACAATATTATCAAAATTACAAACAAATATATTAAATACACTGGAATTTAGGTTACTAGGTATTGCAGGAAATGGTTGCAAAACTCATTATTAAACTTGTCCATTAAATGTCCGATGAAATCTCCACTTTTGGAGATCCTCAGAGTTCAAATGAACAAGACCCTGAGCAATGTCAACTAAGGTGGCTCTGGCTTGAGCAGGAGGTAGGACTGGGTGATTTCTTAATGGCCCTTCTGAATTTTCTGTGGTTCTGTAGAATTATGAATTACTTTTGTTAAATTAGATATTATGAGCTCTCTAATAGATAAAGATGTAATAAAAGAGATGCAGATCAATAAACAAAAGCTGTATACTTAGCCTGTGAAGCGTCTGATAAAGAGAATCTGTGAGGAAAAATGATTTTCTCTAGCTGAAGAAGAAATTTACAGAAGTACATTAGAATTAAAGTAATACAAAGTAAACCAGATGCTGTCTAAAGTGAAATTAAGAACGAAGTGGTTTGAAGAACACTAAGCAATCAGAATTTCTGTTTGTAGGCTATGATGAGTTCATGGTTTATCAAAAAATATATACTAGCTCTTTATTCACTAGAGAAAAGGGAAGTGGAATGTTTGTTAACAGCAGAGGTGTCAAGTGGTTCTCTTGAGCAGTTACAGCCCTATAAAACCCAAGGTATGCTCATACTTTTATTCCTTGTTATTGTGAAAATATTATAAGTGTTTTAAAGGAATCTAATAATCAATAAATTTATGTACAATTGTACAAGTTTATGTCCAGACAATGAAAGATATGAATAATTGTATACAAGACAGTGTATCTGTTTCCTACTGAATTATGTAGTGCACATCTTGATTAAATATGAAACATAACATAGGTTGAATGATCAGTTGAACAGTGCCAATGAAGATATTATTAAAAGCGTTAGGTTTGTAGTCCAAGTAGTAGATATAAACAGCAAAAAATTAATGAGACAGTTCATTAAAGACCCTTCCATCAACTCTTAAGCTGATTGAGTTCTTAATAACCTTTCAAAGGAAAAATTAAAAAAAAAAAAACAAAACCAAACAAAACTTCTTTCTTATTTCACAGTGCACTTAACCAGGCCAGCCAGTCAAACAATTCCTGGTGTTTTATTACAAAAATTACTTTAGGGATGGATGGTATTTGAAGTAATGTAGGGGGGGGAAAAAGATTTGTTAGCTTTTAAAAGCAGCATTTCATAAATGATTCTTTGTAAGGGAAAGAATGTATGTTAACGAAATAGCAGTTCTGAAAAAAGTTAGCATCAATGCTGCATTTTTTTTTAATAACCCATACTTGAGATTGCATCCATAAGCATGATTATAACACATCAGAAGTTAGAAAGTAAGATTGTACTGGGTCCTAAGCATTTGCTTTTGAAAATGGTTAATTACAGTAAGTATTAGAATTTTGAGTAATAGGGCTGTAAAATACTTTTTCAGGTGGCTTATCTAAACATCTTCAGGAGGGAGACAGATATGTTTTCTATGTTATTAATCTACTCCTGTTTTTTTTTTTCATCAGTCTATCTTGTTTCAGAATTTTGAAGTTACAGAGTTATAAAAAATTAGTAACATGGGTTTTAGGTAATACCATGGATGTTAATTGATGAAACATATTTTCCATTCTAACGATTGTATTGCTATATTGAAATAAGATATTTGAGGTGTATCAGCAATCAAGGTATATTGGCTGTTTGGTACATCAGTAAAAAAAAAAAAAGGATTCTTTTCTAAAAATTTCTCAGGCCTCAAAGCATTAGCAAAGATTCTGACTGGATGTACTGATCCTGAATTGCTAGGCAAATCCCTTATGGTATAGGTAGGCAATGAAACATAGCAGAGTGAATGTATCTTGAGTTTCTGTAGCCTTGAGGAAATATAAAACAAAATAGTAGGAAACTTAGACAAGTGAGTGAATAGGAAGAGCAAGTTCACAGTATGACATTTATTTCTTAAGGACGAATCTATAGCATTTGATAGTAGTGTGTTTCTAGTGAAGGTGTTTTTTTAACACTGCCATTAAGAAAGTAGTTGCAAGTTCTGCAGTTTTCAAGTGTGCATTTGTATCAGCCACTGTGCTGTGTGGTTTTGTTTAAATATACAAAATATTGCAAAAATTAAAGTTATCGAAGCTATTTCTTTTTTACTACCATATTTACTGTTTGTCATGTTTGTGTTTTTTCTGGACAATAATCATTCTTTGGTCTGAAATTGTATCTTTCCTATGTTTGGGCCTGTTTCTGGGACAGCTGTTACTGATGAGAGGATGTGTGAACAACAGTTCTTCCAAACAATTTGTAAAAATGCACAATAATTTGTCCTTTGCAAGCACTCAGTTTGAGTGGGATGTGTTGTAAATTACACCTAAACATTGATATGAGTAAGAAATATTTACAAGGCCATGCATACTACTACATGTAGTTAATACTACATTTGTACTGGAGAAAATGGATCATCTTTACTAATGTAAGAAGGTAGGAATTGTTTAGGTAGTTCTTACACTTTTTAAAGATTCCATATAAAATTTCGAGCTGATATGTGTATATTAATCTATGTTGTAGCGCTTGGTTGATTCTGTGTAATTTCTCTTTTCCTAGCACAAAGGATGATCATTTCAATGTTAGCATTCAGCCCCCTGTTGGAGAACTACTCTTGCCTGTCACTATGTCAGAGAAGGACTTTAAGAAGGAGCAAGGTGAGAAGTATTTCAGCAGCTTCACTAAATGTATTTGGGAAGGGGGCTGTGTGCCTTTCAGTTTCCAAGCGTACAGCAAGTGCTTCCACTTGTAGGTGGTTGTGTTAGTCACTCTGATACTAATAAGCAGTTTAAAAATATCTTAAAAAGGATGTGCAGTGAAATTTGACAGCTTTTCAGTGGACCTTTAAAAGCACAAAGTCCACCCTTTACCCTGAAACAGTTTTTTGACTGAAAATGTTTTGACTTCCTATCATGAAGTGTGCATGTCTTTCCTACCAACAGTAAAGCAGAAAATTGGAATGCCAGCTCAAGCAAATAAACCAAGTATACGTTGGTATTGTGTCCATTTTTACTAGTCTTTATTCCAAGGCTGATTTTAAATATTATTAGTGTAGCTGTTCCTCAGGTTATTTGAAAAGTATTTTAGTATTTTCACTTTCAAATACTTCATTTTAAAAAAATATTCTTGTTGGAATACTGTTTTGGAAAGGTGACATGGTTTTTATACTTCTACATTCTTCTGATATTGTGTCTTCAAAGAATGTAAGTTTCTGATGCTAGTCCAAACAAAAACCTCCATAAGAGCTTTTATTGACTTGAATATTTTATGCAAAATAATTAGAGAAAATTGTGCTTAGGTTTGACCATGTGATAAATGGTATAGTCAGTACTACTGCCCTTAATTTGGATATGATTCTTGGATATTTTAAGATATAATTGTTACATTTTGGATACATTTAAATGTAGTAGTGTTTACTCATCTATCTCAATGTATGGGGATTTACGTGTGTAAATCTCTTCACACTGAGATGAGAATATACCCATGGGATCCTATCTCATTGCTGTGTAAGGCTCAGAAACTCAGTATATCCATCAAGCAGTCAAGAACACCAATGAGTAATGTTATGAATTATTAGTTACTGCTGTTGAGCATTTCTTGCTTTTGTATTTTTGAGTTATTAAGAAAGTAGTTTAAATATTGCCCAGATGATTTACAGTTAAGCTTATGTCTGCAGTGAAAAGTTAGGATTGTGCCTTGTTTTTATAACCAATTGATACTTATTTGCTATTCTTACCCTTTGCTGGCTAAAGCCTGCCTCTCTGCTTTATACCTGCTCAGCAAACCAAGGTGAGTGATTGAACGAGGCTGTGGCGCATTTATTTTCAACTGTTCCCTTCTAAAAATTGCAGCTGAGGTTGTAGTGAAAAGAAGGCAGGTTACAGTGCTTCTTCCCTCCCTGTTTTTATATTTGCTTGCTTTGTGATATTTTGATAGAGTTTTTATATGCTTTACTGTGACTGAGGGCTTTTTTTCCTCCTGACTGGCCATACAGAACCATGAGCACATAGAAAAAGTGTACTTGGAGAATAGCTGTGGTCCTCTGTGGAGTTGTTGCCAAAATTCCTTTTTCTTCTGCCATTTTACTTCTATGGTTGTTGATTATTTGTCTGAATAAATCTGGCAGCTGTTTGCTATGTTTAATAGAGCAGAAAGGCTACTCTGAATAAAGCTATTTGAAAATTTGTTTATATGAAGTATTTGTAAATCCATGAAGGTCTCTTGGCATTTCTGTATTGCTTGCTCTGTCTTCCTGAATTCATTCTTTGATGCAGGAGTTTGCAGACTGGGAAGTTTACCACAGGTTTAAAAACCTTTTCTGTTGCATCCTTTTTCTTACGGATATCATCTGTATCAGAATATTCTTGGTAATAGAGGTCTCAATCCTACATTTGCATAAGTATTTAATATAAAGATCTAAGAACTGCTAGCATTTAGGAAGAATTACTTTGTGTTCTTGTAAATGAAAAATCCAAATTACAGTAATAAATGCAAGGCAATTTAGAAGTTGGTGTATGTTATTCTGTTTTGTATATAACTTCAATTTGTCTGAGTGAATCTGATTTATATAACTTGGTTTTTACCTGTCATGCTTTTTCTTTCCCCCCCCCTTTTTTTTTTTTTTTGGTTTTGAACGTAAGATGTTCCAAGTCCTGTACCTGGAGGTGCCTTATTTTATTTGCAACCAAAACAATTAGGTAAAAAATTGTGAAGGAGTGAGGAGAATATTAGAAATGTAAGATAACATTGAGGGGGAATGAGAATATGTATGGGTTTTAAGGATTTTTACATCTAAATTGCATGTGTAACCCAATAAGAGTGCTAAAGAGGAAATAGCTGGTATTATACTACTCTGTAGAAGACAATTCATTGCTACACATCTTTACTCAATTACACTCTGTGGTTTTGTATTGTCTGTTACATTTGTATATGTCCATTTTCTTCCTGATGGCATAAGGAGCAGTGAACAGACAGGTTATTGAATATTCATCGCTGTGAAGGTTATCTAGTGGTAGCAGCATAACCTCAAAAGCCATTTTTATCCATATGCTGTGCAGGATATGCTTAGCCTTGCTACACTGCCTTCCCTTCCCTTTCCTTTCCTTCTGACCTGGGGAATCCTCTGGTGAGGTAATTCCCCTGAGCAGCAGCTGAGTTAGTGGTTGTTGTTGTGACTGACAATTTGGAATGAGTGGGTAAAAATGGTATTGCCAAACACACTTTACTTTCCTGCTTAAATATTTCTACTGATCCTTCAGGCCTCAAGATTTTATACCTGTTTTACATCACATCCCCATAAAAAGCCAAGTGTCTGTAGTAAGAATTCTGCATGAGTGAAAGATGTACTGTTGGGACCTCTGTATTCAAATTTTAACTTGTCTGCTGTTTTTAAAAATCGGTAGCAAAACTCCCCTCACTTCAGAATAGGACTGGTCTAGTAGCTGACATTCCTTGTTACCTATCACTGAAATTTTTCGAGTTTAATTTCTGTTTATTATTTAAAATATGTACAGTTATTTCATGGTATCGGGTAGTTAAGCCAGCCTAAGTGCTGCTTTGTGCTCTGACCAGAATTTTCTTAGATTCTCTTCTTTCAAGCAATAGTAAAGGTGTCGTGAGATTTTTTCAGCTGGATATTAATCAGAATTTGAAGGTGTTTTTTAAATAGGCAGTTAAAACTAATTTAAGTATTAAGATTTTTTTTCCCCCAAGAGACATGGTTTGAAGTAATTTGTAACTTTTTTTTAGAAGTATATGCCTGAATCACATTAAAAAACCAAACCAAAACAAATAAACAAAAACCCAACCAATTTTGGTTATGTAAACAGATAGTTTACCTAATGTTATTAAAATTAGATATATACAATTTGTTTTCCTAATAAGCAAGATGCTAATTCTTTAAATGGCTGGACATTTACTGTTTTCTGGCCATTGACTACCCCAAGCAATCATATTTGATGCTCCTTAATTAGAGCACCCTTTTTTATTTCCAGGTTCTTTTCCACCTCAGCAATCGAGACAATACATTTGCTTACCACGCTGCTCTCCTAAGTGTTCTTTTGCATGTAAATTAATCTTGATTCAGTTTACACTGTCATGCTGAGTGGTACAAATTGCCTATAACAATAAAACAGCATGAGTTAAAAATAAAGGGGGGTGAAAAAGCAGATTGAATGTGTGCCTTACTTGATAGGATGTTACTTTGCTTTATGCCAATACATTAGTCGACGATAATGAATCTTCTGTTCTGAAAAGCATGGTTTAGTTGATTTTTTTAATTTTACTTCAATGGAGCAGTACCTTGTCTTTTATAGAACAAGTTAGACAAACCATTAATGACAAGAGTGTTAAGGTTAAATATGAAGCAATGCATTCACTTCTCTGAGTGCTATCCATCTTTCCATTTACAGGAGCTTGACAAAAGTACTGGCTTTGTACAACATTTCCTTTAATTACATGCTGCGGAAAACAGGCTTTTAACATAAACATAGTTGCATTCATTTATTCAGCATTTGCTCTTCAATAGAGCTTAATGGAGAAGGTTTAAATCCTAAATAAGTACACACATCTCACAGCAGTGTTATGTCAGTCCCTTTGCTCTGTTTAAAAGCAGTTTTAGTCTGCATATGTAGTATTTAAAGCTTTTGCCTAATAGTTAAACAATTCAAAACAGAATGTTCTGTTCCCTGGCTAAATCTGATCTTTATAGAAGTTGCATGCTTATTTTCGTTCTCTTCAAAAATATCCTGTTATTTACTTATGAGCTGTTCCATTTTTACTTTCATATTTCTTATTTTGTGATAACCTCACATTCTGGGGCATTAAAATATAGGATTTATTGTTTTAATTGCTCTATTAATCATCTTGGTACTATTCGCTCTGGGTTAGAACTCTGTGTGCAACCCTAAAACATTATAGCCTTTTGAGACTTTTCCATTGTTTTCATTGTTAATGTTGTTGTGGGTTTCAGATGCTCCATGTTTCTGCCTGAAGTACTGTGCTCTTTTGTCTGCATTTTCAGCTTCTGAGCATACTGTAAAAAGGCACACATGGTGTTAAGTTGTAGTTACTGTTGTGTTTTAATAAACGTGAGCATCCAGCAAATCGTTCTTCTCAACAATGCATATTGATAGAACAGAAAAGTGGGGGTTTTGCTAAAATGTCCTTGAATGACATGTCTGTCTTTACTTTTTCTTTGTCATATGTTTGGCTATAATCTTGACATTTCTATTCCATTTTGTTGTGATATTCAAATTATTTAACTCAAATAGTTTTTGGGAGCTGGATACTAACTGAATTTCCCAGTTTCTAATGTGATGACTTAAACTTAAAGAACTAAATTGAACCAATTAGTGCTATCTGAATTTCAATATAATTTTCAGCAACTGGATAAATTAAATGCAGTGGTTTTATGACTGAAAGATTAGAAGGTGTCTGGTATATATGGTCTTACTTAAGCTGGACTTTTCCAAATCATCCTTACGCAATATTTAATTTCTGTGTTTACACTGTTCTTTTAAGTTAAGCTTTTCATGAAAAAGAACTACCTTGGTTTCACAGTCGCAGCAGTATCACATCTATGATTGCTCAGTTATTAATAATTTGTTTCTAATAATAAGCCATTGCAAGTAATACATTCAGCTACTGATGTGAGTTCTTATAAAATTGTTAAATTGTTTTTTCAGTAAAAGATTTAAATTTTAATGCATTTATATTTTTTTGTTTAGATGTCTCTTATTTTGGTTTTATGCTTAATAAGCAAGCAAATCTTAAAGTATTTGTAATTAAATACTTAATATTTCAGGAATGCTGACAGGAATGAATGAGACATCTGCTACAATAGCTGTTGCTCCACAGAACTCTACTAGACTTGTAATAATTGAGAGGGTAGTAAAAGCAGCAAATCTGGGTGTAGTCTCTTCTGGTCAAGATAACATACACAGGTAAGATTACATATTATTCAAAGTAACAACATCTTTTAATATGAATTTATTAGTTCCAAATTAATCGATATTTGATTACATTAGGGAAAATTTTATTATCTGCACCTTTAACGGAGAAGGTACCCAATTATACTGTAATATATAATCTAAGCAGATACTAACCTGAGCATAAGTACTCTGCAGCTCTTTAATTTGAGTGTATATAGAACAATCAAATGTCTAGACTTTAATATACACAGTTAGGGGAAATTGTCCTTTCCTGGTTTTGTTTCAAAGGGAAAAGGTAGCCTTTTAAAGTACAGTACTTTCAAGAGCTTTTTTTTTTAGAGCTTTTTGTTTCCAATAGTAAACAGGTATATCATCTGTGAGATGAGCTTGCTCCAGGTATGTCATCTGTGAGAAGCAGTTTGGTTTTCCTACATTATTTTTTGACTTTCCAATATATATGCAAGCAAAACTAGTTACCAGACAAGAAAGTCATTGGCCCTGTCAAAATTGTAGTTGTTACTTGTAGATGAATCCGTTTCATCCAAGAGCTGTGATAAGAATGTCAGTGGAATTGATACAATTGTTGGTTAATGACAGCTTTTAATGTGGTTGACTCAAAATATTTAGTCCTGTGAATTGGTATGGCTTCTTACAGGAACAAACAGGAAAATTGCCATATGTGAAAAACTTAGTAGACACAAATTACAACAGCAAGATCTAATTAGAAGCTGTTAACATGGTCTTGGAATCTCTCTTAGCATCTACTAAAACAGTTCGTCAGCGGGAATTATCTCTGTAGCCCCCTGAATTTTGCTATTTCAGTAAATGCAAAGTATCTTCTTTTAAAGCAAAGAACAATGTTTTTATTTTAAATTTTGCTGACTGATATGAGTGTTTGTAATGGTGAGAATCCAGTAGCCTACACAGGACTAATAACCTGATATTCCTCCTTGTTGGATTTAGTCTCTTTTGCATTGCTGGGCATTTTTATTGCATTGCGTTAACATTAACTCAGCTGGATTTTCTTATGTATTTGATACGGTCAATGATAAAATTCTGTTTCACCATAAAAACATGGTACAGCTAGTGCGATTGCACTGAAATGATTGTCACTATTGACACCTGCTCTCCATGAAGGAGTCCTCATTTGTTGCATCCCTGAGGGATCTGTCTATATAGCCTGCGTTCTCAACATCAATTCAAAGACTAGGTGAGAGTGTCAATCAAGAGAGGCTGAAGTGTCTGCAGTATAAAGGTGTTCTCCATCTTTACCCAATCTGTCACATGAGGCATCACATAGGGATGGATTGTTTTGTTGACTGAGTCTCAAAAAGGCTCCCTAAAATAATAGCTTAGTTCCTAGCTCAGCCACAGGTTTCCTTATTGTAGACAAGTTTCTAATTTGATCTTGTTTTCTTTTGGTCTTTTGGTTTCTTTTAAAGGAGGTTTTCTACAATAGAGTCTATAACCAACAGTAAATAAATTGAAGATGCACTTTCTGTTGGGTACACTCCTTCAGAGATTGTGGTTAAAGGCATGTTCTGGTCCAGCTGAAGTACTCAGAGTGCTTTGGAGCATCCTGAAATCTTCTTTGATTTTTTTTTTATATTCAAAATAAAATGTTTTCAGTCTGCCACAACAGTTGTAGAATGCTCTGCATCTATAATGTCCATTAGACCAAAAAATTCATTTATTACAATATAAGTGGCCTACAAGAAATGACCAGAAATGATAAGCATTTAGAAAATAGGCCTTCATTTGCTTCACTGTAAGTAACTGGAGTTCACAGCTACTATAGTCATAATTGCACGTAGATTTTACTGAGAACAGAAACAGGAACATTATTTAATTGATACCGTGATGAACCTGTTCATCTCTTAAATAGTAATACTTTATCATTAAAGTAAATCCTAGATTCAAATAAATGAATATGTGAGATAAAATTAGTTAATGAATCCTTTCAAAACACTGAAACAAATGACTGAAATGTTTTTTCCTCTATGTGTCTAAAACCTACATATATTTGGATTACATGAACTCTGTCACGAGAGTAAGTGAAAATGGAGTCTCTTCTGGCATAAGTCTCATGAGTGCAAGAATTGTGACATGTTTTATTTATGTGACATATATGCCATTTCAGGATAATAAAATAAACAGTCACCTTTTATCTTGACAAAACAGTTAGAGATTCAATAAAATTATGCTGAAAGTGAATTTTTTAATTTTTCTATAGTATTGTCATTCGTCCTGTTTGTTTTATTGCAATTGCTGTTTGGAGAAAAAAATTCAATGCAAGAATATGTTTTAGCTCATCGTGCTATTCTGTGAGGACTACTTCAGTTCACTTCTTGGAAGTGCTTCGTACATACTTGTTACACAGAAAAAGTACTGTTTTTAAACTGATGTTCTGCACTGTGCAGCATAAATTATATTAACCTATTAGTTGATCATCCCCAATGTGAGTATTACTATTTAATGATGGCTAATGCCAAGAAATTTTTATTACGTGGTAATGCAATATACTTATTCAAAATGAAATGGTACAGTTTAATACAAGTGCCAGAGTATCTAATGGATATGAACAGGTGTGCATTTCTTGATGTTTTTTTCAGTCTAAACATGTTAACATTCATGATGAAGATGTTGTCATGCTGCTGCAACCCAATTACTCTGCCTTAAATTAATAGCCCTATTAGGATTTTGTATTTGCACCAAGTAAAAACACTTACATGTAATGAAGGTTTGAAACTAAATACTTGAAACAAACATCAACAGAGTAGCATGCACTCACCAAAGAAAAATGAAATAAGTGTAAATGTGTCAAATACATCAGCTATGTATCAGACCATATCACAGTATAGTAATACCTTCTTACATGCATTTTTTTTTCTCTCTTTACTGTATGGCTACTAAACTTTCATACTTACTTTCAGTGTAATAATTTAACTGTCAAGTGAGCGTAGAACAAAATACCAGATAATACAGTAATATAATACTAAAACTTTAAACTAATATTTAATAATACTTTAAACTCATTTTTCTGACCAGTTTTATTTGAAGTGATATGTGCAAAAATTTTGAAATCAAAAGCCAATATGTATATCAGAACACAAAGTTGCAGGTTAATATTCATATATTTGCAAAATAAATTTTGCTGTACCATTTAACTTCCTTACATATACCTACCTGCTTTCCATTGAGTTTATACAAGGTATTAGATTACTGGACCTTGAAAGACTACATGCAGTGTGGTCTCATGCTCTTAATAGGATTTTACTACTTTATGTATTGATCTCTCTTGCTTTTGTTGTCAAGTGGTAACATTATTTTGATTTTAAAAGGCTTCTACTAAAAGCAAGAATGTGAAATGCATTTCAAAAGAGAAATTTTCTTGAATAGGAAATATTTCTCCTTAAATATGAGAACATCAGAAAAAAAGAGAGTATGATTTTTCTTAAAATATTTTCTCACAAGAGTGATTAGGGTAATTGTTGAAACATACATAGCTCACTCAATGCTCTGAGGAGCATTGTTTGATGTTGATAAAGTGATTTCAAAAGGAACAAAGGCACCAAGCTTTTGTCTTTTGATTCAGGCCACATTTGAGGGCAGCATTTGAATATCTGAAGATAAAGTCACTGAAAGAAAAGCATTTGTTCCTGCAGGGCATTAAATCCCTCTGAATAATTGCGTTTAGGGACCAAGTACTTTTCAGTTGAAGTATGTCTGCCGTTTGCTGTCAGTAGAGAAAGTCCACCAGGAGTTTTTCCATCTTCAAGATAGGAGGATACATGAGGACATTTATTCTCTCCAAGTTGATTCTTCTATAGACTTTCACTTGAGCTCCTTGTCTCTACTTGGACAATAGCACTGATTGCTTTATATATAAAAAAAATATTATAGGCTGTTCTATTTCAAAATGTGATGAGATGAAGACACTGTTCAACTCAAGATTTTCGGTCGTATTCTATTTAACCAACAGAAGCCTTAGTTACCCAGAAATGCCCTTCATGCCAGTGTTACTTTCAGGATGTGTTGCTTATTCTTATTAATAGTAGATGAATAATATAAAAGTTCCTCGGGTCTCTTTGTCCTGTATTTATTTTCAGCTCCATAACCTCCTGCAAGGATAGGTAGTATTCATTTGCTTCGCTTTGAATATAGCGAAAGACAACAAGTGGTGATGGCATGAAAAGGCTAGTTGAAGACTTTAATCTTGGAAAGACTTGAATGCTACTGTAATCCTTTAGAAAGTGTCAAAATATTACCTACTATTACATAAGGCTCTGTATATGAAGGAGAAGTGTTTCAGGCTAAATTTACTTAAGGAAAAAAACTAGTGGAAATACACATAGAAAACATTTCTTTCCACTGCATACAAAAAAATATGGTGCTGAAGCTTTTTAATTTGTTGGCAATAGCATATGGCAGAAAAGTCCATTCAGAGGTGTGATCACAAACTGGATTTGCTTGTTCACTCTTTCGTTTTGTTTTATACTTTCGTGCTTCCATTGACGTCAGAATATAATGTGTAATTGGATGGAGAATCAGGCTGTCTTCAACTGTCTACCTCTCTGCCTTCCGCTTTCCAAAGCATTTCTTAAATGGTACTCATTGTACTCTAGAATGTTATTTCCCTCAATAAGTGTGGCTATACAAAATGATGCAAGGTAGAGCACCTTTTCTTCTTTTTTCATCCTTGAAGACTGCTTGTATATTTCTCAGTCAGTGGGATAAAAGTTTGAAGCCATCTGGGTAGATATGAAAAATGAATTTTAGTCAGCCTCAGCTTGTTTAATAGTCCATTGAACTAGTGTGTTTCTGCTGTTCTATTTTGGAAGGAATCCATAATTGCAAACAGAAAGCATTTGGGTTACGAAGTGACCATAGAGTCATACACCTGTATTCTACAATTCATCAGAATGGCTGTAACCATTGACCAGCACTCTGAGACACATGATAGCATTAATTTCAGTCCTCTAATTTGACATGGTCAAGTCTTTCATTTCAAC